AACTGTTGATTCTCTTTCTCGCTCTCTATCACAATTAGATACGATGACTTTGATTTTCCATAAGAATTATTGGATGCAACACCTGGGTTTTTTATCCAATCATTTGTGAAACCACTATTCAAACTCTGTCATACAACTTCATGTTAATTTTATGTGGGAAGACGAACACATTGATAGTGTATACAAGCATATTCGGTCATTACTTGAGGATTACGAAATCCTTCTATTAATGGTCTTTGCAACAGCGTCTTTTAACACCAATCAAATTCTGCGTGTTATTACCATAAATTGGGAAAGTTGGTTTGTTTTAGGATTCCCAGTCAAAATTTCTTAAAGATGGCTGTGTTTTAATGGTAAAAATCTCTTTATTAACAGTATCATACATAGAAAACCATGGAAGATTGGGTAGATATTTATCCCATTGGCAAAGAATGTTATACAGCCTGTCATTAACCTCTGTCCAACAGTTGAAAGTGGATCCACTTTACGATTGTTCTGGTAGACTTAAAGTACGCCACCGAAACATCTTTTATAGTTCTCACTGTTTCATCATGTATTTTTTCTTTCATTACAAACTTCACTACAGGTTGTTAAATGTAAATGTATATTAATCAAACGACATAAATGATCCACGCGATAACTAACATGTAAATTAATAATCACACTACGAAAGTGTGAGATTTTCACAATCACAACTCCTGCCACATTTTCAAGACAAATACATTTATGAATGGTTATTTCCGGAAATTCTACCTATACATTTAACTCGTTTGTCTCTTGAGTTGATTGAATCATTACCATCAATCAAAGTTGAAAACTGGGAGGATATCAGAGGGGATTATTCAAACGACATGTTTCTCTGGAAAACGTCTTCGGCTGAATACTCTGGTTCACTTTTATATGCCAACTACCTGAATCCATTTCATATATCTGTCCTTAGCACGAAATCCATTTTTATAATAGTTTTGGGATTAAGACAGACGTGTAGTAGGAGTTGGTGTACCAATGCACACAATCCCCTCCTTACCATTTGGTATGTTTCATTTGGAGTAAACAAAGTGTAACACGAATTACTCCAAAAGTTCTGCAAATATATTTTATAAAAATGGGCATAATTAACGGTAGTCTTCTAAATTAAGAACACAAATCACATCAATGAGGTCTGGTTGAACAAAAAAAACTACATGAATAAGTATTGTATATATCGAAGCTGAGAATGAGGAAGATAACGAGGAAAGCCAATTCTTATATTTCAAAGATGCTTTCATAGGCCAAATATGTTTTATTACAATGCATTTACTCCTTGTCCTGAAACTGAAATAGAAATAATACTTGATAATATATCATTTGACACCACAGAAGGTGGCCTGCTTGAATCAATAGGCTACATGAATTTCCATCCAACATAATGCATCATATTTTACCTAATTCCTATTTCTCTAGCCATTCAGTCATATCCTTTGGTCGCAAAGTATACTCATGTATATTTCCAACTGGCCTTCAATATACTTGTTCACATTCCTAGGAGATGAAGGAAATATATCATAAAAGATGGAATATCGAATATCATTGTGTCACATGATATACTACAAATTATCTGTTTTACCTGAAGATCCTAGATGAGGAGAGAAGAATATTGTGCTTTAAATTACGTTGATAATTTTGAACACTTCATAAACATTTGTCCAGAATAAACCTCTCATTACTATTGTTGCTGAAGCAATATGGTTCCATCTGAAACACGCACAAATATCCTAGAATCATTTTCTCCATATGTCTCCAAAATCTCGCAGTCGTATGCTGGAACCTATTTCAAAATAGACATTAATGCAGATTGCAACTGAAAGAAGTAACTGGATGTTTGAAAGGATGTGTTGTGAAAGAATCTATTGTGCATTCTGATGGATAGATTGTGAGGTAGCTCAATGACTTCAACGAGTAACCTGACGACATTTGCCATGAATTGATCATTTGAGAAGTACTGAAATCAGTAACAGCCAAAATCTCATTTCTCGTCGCCTTAATATCTCATCGAGGCCATCGAAATCCCCTGTAATTCCCTTCGTCTCTCACCTTTATTAAGGTTTGCATATTTGCTAATTTTGCAGAAGTCATCATTCCAAATTTCTGTCCATGTCAGCTAATCTTTTGTTTTTTCATTAATGTGTTTTTCGTTAAAAATAATCCAGAAGTGGATCTTGAGAATCTAGTCATTCCCTTTATTTCCTTCTAAAATCTTTACGTGTTGGAAGAACAACAATCAAGTTATGCTTTTTTGTTGAATGTTTGAAAAGCACATTTTTTGATAAAACTGTAAAATATTAACTTATGAAGATTCATGTTAAACATATTTTGACCAGGAAATGCCCAACCGCTTAAATCTCCAGCTGCACCTACAAACACTTCCATATTTCCATACAAAGACTTTCAAAGGTACGCTCAGAAAATCTGGTAGACACTCTCTTCTCATTTTATTCCTGTAGACATATGGAATCAAGTTCTTCCTAAATGCTTTCTGAGTTGAAGTAATTCCCATCTTATATATTTTCACTTACAGTAATTTAGAACATTTTCATTTCGTTGGCAGATCAAGAAAATCTGCGAATTTCAGTGACCTCCTTCCATTCCCTATATATATCCGTTGTTACTTGGTGAAATAGTCCAACAAATGCATAACCTTGATACCTCTGTGGAAATGTGATACACATTTTCCTGTTCAGCGAAAGGTCAAGTATATGATGAAAATAAGTACCAAGATGTAAAAAGATACATTACGATTTTATTGTAATGATACATTGTCCATGATATTCACCCTTGGTAAACGCCAACAGTGCAATTTTCGATGCATATACGATAAATCTCATCGGAAAATGTCTCAGTAACAGCTAATTCAACTGTCTTTTCAATCACCATTTATTTCTACCTCTTATCACAAACTTTGAATGTATTCACAGAGTTCAAATGAATTAGGTATGTTGTTTGTCTGAATTTTTGTGGAATTGTGAATGTAATCCTCTTGCTGTTCTAGAAATTTCACGAGAAGAAAACAAAGCCACTATGGAAAAACTAGAATAGTGTATATATCCTTCAAAGTATTAGGATTTTACAGAGCTCATTTCTTCTCGTTTATGTTATTCTGAGATCAGCGAAACCCAACAGTATCTATCATTAGATGAGGTTAATAAAACTGCATTTCATAGTAATTCAAACAATATATATATATGTATCTCAGTACTTGTTATTCGCCTAGTCAAGTGCGAGTTAAATACAACAATTCAACGAATTCCATTGACCGGCTTTGTTAATTTAGAAAATGATTTTTGCATGCACAAGTGATTCGTATAAAACAAAGGAAGTGAGAAAAGTTAACGGGAGCAAAAGTAAAAACTTGGCTTTGCATACATAAATACGTACATGCCAAATATTTCAGTAATTTTTACCTAGATACATTATCTCACTAACTGGAAAAATGAATTTTGAACACAAACAACATTTCTCTGTAAATCTGTCACGTATATCAAATACTTCAGCGTTGTTAATTAAGAACACACCCTTTTCTTCCTAGCAGATGACTACAGTGAATTTAGTTTAGCTTTCTAGTTTTAGTAATACTTTTCAAATAGACACGCATATTTATATAATTTCAGAAGCGTAGTGCTTGCTGCGTTAGTTGAACATATTATCTTTCAACAGGCTGGTGGGCGTTTGTGGTTAGCAGTCACCATTCTCAGTTGAATCTGGAGAATCAAACATGAAATCACTCTTATTTTAAGATCAGGAGACCTTAGAGTCGACTCACTTGCAATATCAGTCACTAGAGGAAGTTATTAAAACAGTTAACCTTCTGAATATTTAAATGTGCACGTTTCCTAGTAACTGGAGTAAAAAAATCAATATATCAGTACTCATCATTTACCTTACCCTGGGTAAGCTAAAGACAATTATGCTTGGAATTCCATTCACTTCATGTGTGAAATTATAAAATGATTCTAACTTGTAGAAAGGATTCGTATAACATGAAAAAGTCAATAAAAGAAAAAGACTATTCTCAATGATTAAAATACCGCACGTTCTCCGTAGATAAATCTAATTAAGAGACCTATCATCCGATGGTGACATGATGAATAAATTAGAAGCAAAACTTAGGAAGTACATAATAGCTTCACTGTATATCCTTAAAATAATACTATATAGGCGCTGCTTTTGAAGAAGAACAAGTAGTGATATTTGCAGTTTACGAAGAAATTGAAACCTTCAAAGTAATCGTGACATTTAAACAAATCAATCATTCATATAAAAGACGACCTCGATTCACAACAGTTTTGTTCAGGTGTCTGAAATACTTTTATAACTAAATACCTCCTTTTACAAATACGGAAGGAGAGGTCATTATAATTTGTTTAAATTTACATCATTAATTTAGCATACCTTCTATTTCTGATGTATTCAAGAGAGGAGATCGATAGCTGACCACCAGATGACTAGAAATAACCATTAATGGAATTGCGCCAGAAAACTCGGATTTACGCTGAAACTTCGAAAGAAAATGCTATGATTCGAAAGCGGTATGATGTACAATTTTTATGGTTATAGTCTAATGTCAGATAAACATTGAGAAAACTTAGTGGTATATAACGAAATGCCTTGAGAGGAATTCTTATCAAGTAATACAAAAACAATCTTTTACTGAAGTTTCCCTTTTATGTAGTATTTTTGTCAGGTGTTTCTAGCCTACTGACATTTTCATATTTCTGCTGTGCCTTTTGGAAAACTGACTTTTTATTTTGGAGAAAATGCATTTAGTGTCGTTATTTACTGATAGCTGTCTTCTTATTTGTACAGATACTGCATCACTAATTCATAAAAATGCATTTCTATCCTGGTAAGCTATCACTCAATTACACTGAAATGTAAATCCGATATGTTTATTTTTAATTTGCTTTGCCTGTATTATGATGAACGACAAAAACACTTATATTTAATAGTTGACTTTTGGAACTCTCTAATCTTTTAAAAAAAACTAGTGTTTAAATGTTGTGTTCAATAATCAAACACTCAGTTAGTTATTAATTTACATTGGCAATAGAGCAGTTTGGCGTAAGTGTAACAGTTTTTCTGATGTATTTCGAATATTCTAACATTTTGCTAATTTCACAAGTAATTATTTTGCTGTTCTCAGTATGCTTTTCATGTTTGATTAAAAATTGCTTATTTTATTACTTAATACTTCGGTAAACACGATAATCTGTCAAGGCTTATTAGTAATAAATGAATTCATAGTGTGAAAGTTTAGCAAATCAAATAATTAGCTTCCATCAAAAAAAGAGACTAGGCATGTCACTTTAATCATTTTCTACAGAATGTAGACTTTCATCAGCACCTGTCCCTATCATTCAATGCTGAGAATCACGTGAGAAGGAATAAGAAGTGTTGACAGGCAGCCAGTCAAGAACCTTCTACCTACCGAAGAGGATATGATGCTTCAACTTACATTCTAGTGACATCACATTTAGCCTCATTAGGCTAATCAGAATGTAGAGTTACAGGTGGAAGTTCAAGGGCTACATGGATGAAGTCAGGCAAAAGATTATAAGCAGTTTTTCCACCAGGTACAGTGACCACAGAGGATTGAGTGCAACAAAGATTTACTGTTGAAGTCTTATATTTCACTCCGAGCGGAAGAAGTAAATAATAATAATAAGGACATCACTAAATAACTTCACTCGTGAAGACATTGTGTTGGTTATCTAAATGACGTCGAAATCAAGGCGTTTTACCATCGCTCATATACATTCATATATGTCAAGTACAGAAAAACACATATTCTCATAGATCACTATTCAGAATGAATATTCAAGTCACACTTTTTGGTTACTATGCCCATAAATCTGTGTAATTATGTAGCCATATATGAACTTAATTTCTTGTTCATTATAGGATTGACTAAAAAGTGGAAATTCCCAGTAATGAAAGACAAGCAAACTGTCTCCTCTACTTTGTCTGAGTATCAAATACCAACACTAATCAAAGTAATCCTGATAAATACGTTATTAATAGAATTAAAGTTTATTTTTGTTTCCAGTATTTCATTGATCGAAATGGTTATTGTCACAGTACTACTATGTTTCTTGTAAGTTCCAATTTGAAAGCCACTAATGAAATATCTTTAGTTATGATTTTAAGGCAGTAATGAAAAATAAACCCTGGCAAACATATATTTTAATGTAAGTGAGCATCACCCATATAGTGAGAATGTAGCCAAAGACGTTTTACTAACTTTTCCCTAAAAATTCACTGATTTAATTGGTTTCTGGGATTTCCACTACGGGTTATTGAAACTTAATAATACAAATCATTTCTGAAGCCACAGCGAATAAAAAATCGTATTAAATTTAGGAATTGGGAAGAATGTTTCAATCTATCATTTGTTCAAAACTTGGACACTATCATAGTTTCTAGACCCATATAAATTTGTTTATCGGATATTTCACACAGTGATAAAACATTATTATATACTGCATGATGTTTCGAACAACGTTTGTCGTGTGTAATCATGCCATCTGTAACCATACAACTTTGAAACTCAATTTATGTAGTCTTTGTCCCTCCTTTCAGTTTGTTAAAAGGCGATTACAGCTTTTCAGATGTGGCATGGTAGGTGTTAAATAGTTCCTATTGCACATATTCTTAGCTGACTGAATAAGTTAATCTTCAGTTATCAATCTCTCAGCTCCATATGATTATTTGTAATTACATGTAGTGCTACAGCTAAGCTGTTTACAGACATCTAATCCCATTGAAATTTTTCTGCTTCTGTAGTATAACTCATCTCGACCTCGACCTCATAATCAATGTTTGATATTGATTAGATTGCATTATTTTGTCTGATGGGCTATACAAGACCATTTGGTTGACATAATCTGTTTCTTAGTCAGGTAATATGTTTGAATGACACTTTTATTCTTGTCTTTTTAAGAATTCAACATAAGGTTTCACAGGTTCCCTCATTTTTATGTTAGTTATAAAAATATGTTATTCTTCCTTATCTTTGTGTTATCTTTCTCAGTATGTTTGTCATTCGTGTCTTCCCTTACTCTTGTTATTTCCTATGCACTTCCTAACTGCATTACCGGGGTAATTATTTAGTGCGAAAGTTTCTTTTATATGACTTAGTTTCTGCTGTAGATTTCCATTGGCAATATTTAGCTGTTTTGCCCTATTAATCAAGTATTTAACTTATCCTATTTTTACTGACATCGACTGGAATGAGCCAAAATACTAATATCGTTCTTAATATATGGGTTTCCAGTAAACGCTAGTGCTTAACTTCTAATCGTCCTTCTTTTTCATGATTTAATCCAACACCTGAAGCTTCCATCCATGACTTTCCAACTAATAAGTGAATTGAATTGCGTCTATCGTAGAGTTACAGTGTTCGAAAAATCTGTTTATTGCCTGTTTTGAATGCTATGAATGTGCCATTTACATACCTACACCATACTATGACAACAACTATTACTCTAGAACCCTTACTGTTTCTACACGATATGATATATCCAATAAACAAATCAATATGGAATAATATCGGAATATGACTGATGTTAGAATGTAAATAGTAAAATTTAGCAAAAATCAGAATGGACTCAATTTCCCTTCATTCTTTTTTTGTTTTAAGTTGTTGTTCCACTATATTCTCGCTATTAATCGCATATTTCCGTGGTCTGCGTTCACGGTTTCCAGCCAACTACATAATTCTATATCTTAACGTGAGTCAAGTTAATGATTTACTTTCTTTCTGTCTCGCCAAATAATCTTCACGATGTCTTTTATCTGACTTTAGAGTTATAATTACATTAGTTTAATAAGTAGACTTTTAAACGTTTTATATTTGTATTTTCGAATGAAATCCTGCTCATGTATATTTTCTTAGAAAGTGGATATAAATACACCATCACATATTCAACACAGTAATAGTTTTTACTTAATACTCTTCAAGAAATTATTGTCAACCAGCTTTGTATGAAGCGCTTATAAATAGGAATGCAAAGTGTTATTAATATAAGAACATTAATTTTTGCCAGTGAATGGCAGATGAATTCAGAACGCACATTTAGTCTGGATATAACTGTATTCTCAGACAGTGTTCATTATACTACTGACAGTTGAGTGCAGTATCCACAATTTCAAATGCCAAAGTGTTATCCACTACACCAGTGAGTTACATGAATCACCTCTTGTGTAAGATGTACCAGTAACACTGTGTTTAATTCCATATTAGTTCGTTTATTAGATATATCACACAGTGAAACAGTATTTTTCACTGGATGACGTTTCGAACAAAATTTATTGTTCATAATCATATCAATTGTAATCACACGACTTTGACACTTGAGTTTTATAGTTTTCTTTGTTCTCTCTTATTTGTCGTATGGGTAGTAGAATTTTCCAGATATCTGGAACAGGTGTTGAATCTTTCCTGTTACATGTATTTGCAGTTGATTCGATAAACAAAGCTTCTGTTATCAGTCTCTCCCTCCATCCTGTGACATGAGATTTTTAATCTGTCATCCTATCCCATCCTATGGTATGGTTGTGTGTAACTGCATGTAGTGCTATAGCTGAACTATTCTCTACATTTCTTATCTTATTTGGGTCAACCAATCTAGATTTTGGTAGTTTTTATGTTCAGCTAGTCTGACTGCCCTGTTCTACTAGTTTGACCTATGTATTTGACCTGACAATCATTGCAGGGTATGAGATAAACTAAGTTGTTTTGTTTTAAAGGCTCTACAAGATCCTTTAACCGACAAAGCTTGTTTCTAATTGAGTTTGTGGGTTTGAATGCCATTTGTATTCCTGCCTTGTTAAGAATTCTGCGTAAGGCTTCCGAGGTTCCTTCCTTGTATGGAATTACTACTGATGATTTAGATTCCTTATTATTGGTGTCGTCAAATACATGTAATAGGAATGATTCATCACCTGTCCCCGATATCTGGAAAATTCTACTACCCATACGACAAATAAGAGAGAACAAAGAAAACTATAAAACTCAAGTGTCAAAGTCGTGTGATTACAACTGATATGATTATGAACAATAAATTTTGCTCGAAACGTCATCCAGTAAATAATACTGTTTTACTGTGTGATATATCTAATAAACAAACTAATATAGAATTACTTACTACCACAGTGCCCAAGTTTTACACATATATTAACACTGTGTTCATTTCAAGACATTGTTCAACTGAACGTTCTAAAAGACCAAGCATTTCGGTGTAATAAAATCAAAGTGTGAAATTTAAACCAACTTCAATAAATGCATTACGCAAAAATATCGAATCTGAGTCACAAACTACCTATGTTGACTAGCAACCTCAATAAGACTAGTCTTTTCATTTTGTCAATTCAAGTTTCCCATCTGGCATATGTATATATATATGCAATCATCACCACGAACGCAATAGTGTAGTGCAGTGATAAGTTTTATAAATTTACGCTCAACAGACTATGTTGAAATGACAGTCATCTGTTTGTTAATACAGTGAAATCCAAGTATATTGTCATAGACAGCACTCTAAAAGGAACTCAAATGTCATTGGACAGCGATGACAATAAGTGACTCTACCAGTGTTAAGCACGAGAAAGTTTTTTAAAAGGCCTTAGGACACAGGACTTACATTCTAAAAAATTTTTCAATGGATTGGTTCTGCGATCTACTCAAAAGCAGTGAGTTGTTAATTAATACTATCGGTGCAATTATCAGTGATCATTTTGTTTCCTTTTGCTAATAACAGATTCTCCTACTTTGTTATGCATTCATACCTCCTATGTTGAGGGTTGGGCTTACATATGTGTTGCTGTCTTATTTCATTTCGGCAATTATATTATATGTCACTCTGGCTTTGGGAATGCTATGCGAGATAAAATTTTTCTACAGATGGTTTGTGTATTTTCTAGTTGGTTGGGTTTTGGTATCAAGTTGTATCTCAATTATTTTATATTTTTTGAATTTCGACAAGGTAAGTGCGTCTCGTATTCATATTCTACAACTGCTAACAGATGACATATATATTCATATGGTTATCCTTACTGTTGATTCCTTGCCTTACTGATATTTTGAACTGGTTAAATTTGTCACATCCTAGCATTAATGGAAATAACCAGTGAAATATTTATCACCAGTAACTCCAATAGTGGCGACGATGTTTACTAAAAGTTGGGAGTATAAAACTCTTACAACGTTCAATACTGTTTCCAGGTTATGATGGAGATATGTCGATGACAAAATCGCTGTGTTCAAACCTGAACGTATCCCTAGTTTCCCCACATTTCCAGTCTGACTCCGAATCGGGAAATTGTTAGGGTGATTTAGCTATGGTAGAGCTCAAAATGAAACAAAAACAGGATGACTTCTTAAATGTTAGCATCCATAGAAAATTGTCATATTCTGATTGTTACTTAGACTTTGAATTATCCATTTCAAAGTCGGTAAAGGTAGATCCAGTTAAATGTTTGTGTAATCCAGATAGAAATCTAACTGATGATTCAACAGACAAAAATAATAAAATCAAACAAATAAGGAAAGGATTTTCATCATGAGCTGACATTCGTTAGAGAACCACTGGAAAACCTGGGAGTACTGGACAGCTGTTTCGTCCTAGTTTGGGACTCTTTAGCAGTACACACCCACCTGGATTCGAACCCAGGACCTTCTGGTTACAAAGCGAGCTCGTATACCACTAAGCCACTGGGACCCGATCCAATGGCCCATGAATTCCAACTTCTGCCAATTCACGACAGCGCGACCCCTAGCCAATGTCTTCGGCGAGTATTTGTCCTCACACCCGACCTGCTGCACCCTACTGGTCACGACTTCTCACTAGAACCTCGGTGGGCGCGTACTGATGAAGAGTCCCAAACTAGGACGAAACAGCTGTCCAGCACTCCCAGGTTTTCTATTGGTTCTCTGTCGAATGTCAGCTCATAATGAAAACCCTGTAGCCAATCAAATCCCTACAAACTAACACTTGAAAACAAGGAAAGCATTACTATTGAGTAACTACTCACCAGAGTTTATTCCGAAATGCATGAAGGATTGTAAAGAAAATAAGAGTCCTAATGTAAGTATGCCAAGTAATAAAAATGAGGGTAATTCAGAGAATCGTTAGGTAGTGGCAGAGATGAATCACGAAATCTCTGTTCACTGAGTCAACGCCAAACATGTGCAATCAATCAGTACTTCTAAAACTGTCGAATGAAATTAAGAGCGTATCAAAATATCGTTGAGAAAATGACTAAATCACGCATGAAGTAATAGACTGTAGTGAACATTAAATAAGCAATACCACTCAAAATAACACTGACAAAGCCTGAATTGTTTTCTGTTATGATTCTGTTTTAGGCCTTGTATCACTTCATGGGAGTTACATTTCTTCTGTTTGTCATACCAGTAGGTTAATAAAAAATTTCCATAACTTTCTTCTCAATATTTACCTATGTCCCAAAGATTCATATCATCTAGTTGACTTTCACTGACCTATGTCTAATAGTTTAAACGGTCTTAATCTCAAAGCAATAACAACACATGGTATGGCATGAAATGATCCATTGTTTATCCTGTTGGTATCTTGTCTGATGAATACAACCTGAATGGTCAATCTAAATAGTGCTACTACAATTTGAACATACTCTTGTTTACGGGAGGTAAAAGGTGGAACACTAATTCAAAATGATCATGATACATAGTTGATATAACGGCTGAGTTGGTAAATTACTGCTGTACTTATATGTATAATGTAATATAGTCAAAGAACCTAGCATAAAATAAAAACTGGACAGAAAGGGTAGCATCATGATACTGAGGTACATCAATTGTGTGATTGCATAAGTCTTTACAGAATTGTTAATACATAAATGAGATATGAAAACTTATTGTTAGTTAAGCTAAACTGTTTAGATATCAAACATATGAATCGTGAAACTTACTGAAAGATGAATGAAAAGAAATCAACGTATTTAGTTTCGAAGGTAATAAGGTCGATTGAGGCTACAGAACGAGTTTCCGAGATAGAAATAGACATCAACAATTTCACTTTCAAACCTCTCTCGATTACACCTCTCTTGGAAACAGAATACATTATGATTAAATATACACAGGCAAACAATTTCGTTTTGTATGATTTCCAAAGATAATGATTTATATCCTCAGGTGAAATTGTGAAAACGACTATGAATATCAGATTTCATTATGAATAAATGCACAAAAGGGAAATACATGTGGTACCAACACTTCTTGTTTGGTTAAATACGTCAGGTCTCACACATTTGTAGCAACTGCTACAACAGATGTATTAGGCATCTCAACAGTTTGCAACATAATATTGTTTGGTTGATGATGACTAACACTGGAATCCAGGATAAATATTTCTCCTTATTTGGCCTCCGTGTTTCTCGCGACCAAGTCATTATCTTCAGTGATGCCAGTGGCTAGTATACATGGTTCATGTGATTATCTGAAAAACATACTTACTCAAACTATTTCATTGAAGCCATGACCGGATAATCGAGATAGGTGTTTGTTTCATTCAAATAAATGTACAGATTTGCAGAATTTCAAACAAGGAAGAGGACCTGAACTTTCAATATATTTCATACCAAGTCTTCTACACTGAATATAAACTTCTCATAAGTCACCGAAACATTTCCAGCAGGTTAGAAAATCCTATGAATAGCTGCTTTTCCTCTATGCTCTGCTGGTTGAAAAGGATAAACAACAAGAAACTCTGACAGCCCACCAACAAGGACCCTACTACTAACAAGTATGAAAAAGAATATTTAGGTTGTTTGGACAAACTTTGAGGAAACCGCTGAATGACACCAAGGGCTAAGGATTCAGGTGGAAACCACTGGATAGGGAACTACGATGACATGCCAGAGATCATGTAAAGAAGAAATGAAAGCTTCTCGGCAATTCTGAAGTAAACTGACTGTGATATACAAAACCGAGGGTATTGGGGAAGTTTCACATAAGCCGCATGTTCCACTCGGAACTCAAGGATTGAATAATATAATACGAAAATATTTTTGTAATTAATTAAAGTACTATTATGAATTCCTTTAAGTTTTTCTGAACGTTATACTAATTATGACAACATTTCATTCCTCTTTTTAGCTCCTTCTGCGCATTGGGCAATTGTTAGCGACGCAAGAGTCGGAACGCATGTTTGGTTCTCATTTAGTATCAGGTTCACTTGCAATATCATTAATATTTCTGTTATTGTTTTTTTCAATCGTTATTCAATTCTTTCCTTACACTGATCCTTCTCAAAAAAGTTGTAATTCATGTAGACCTATGACACTATAATCCATTTCACTTTTGTAGTCACATTTCCTCATTCATCTAGTCGTTATCTAAACCATTTGGAACCATTTGTGTCTAATTGTTTAAATATCTGCAAAAATAACAAGCATACACAAAAGTGACAATAATATGCCAAGAATTTTGATGTTACTGTAAACAGTTTCCGTAAACTCAAAATAATTGATGATTATCCTTCTCGCTTCATATCATGCAATAATGTACCGATTTTCTAGCCTCACATTTTTATCTCATCAATCCCTGAAAATACCACTCGAATACTATCAGTCGGCATTGCGTTGATACTAAGGTAGGAAGAGAAACCCATCTATGTTAGATACAAGCAGTTTCGAATATTATGATTATCTGATCATCCTTCAGGTGACCTTAGTCTAACTTTGTTTACAGATGGTCACTCTCTAAATGCTAATTAATTTACGTCATCAAAGTCCATTTGGTTCAAATCTAAGGTAGAATAATGTTGAAAAGTTGATATTCACTAATGTCACAACTATCAATAAAGACAATATGAACAGTCGAAAATTTTGGACGATTGGATAGATGTTTAACAGTCTGTCACCAAAATTGTCCAAAGTAGTCCTACATTACCATCATTCTAGGCCTATCCGAAGTGTAACTTCCGAAAGCATGTCTCGACTTTGGTCATCAGATTTATCAAGTAGGTATTTTGATTTACTTTTCAAGAAATCATTATAGGTAAACAGTCATATCAAGGAGTTTCTTAAATCGCCTTCTCTGCATGTTGAAAAACAAAGGAAAAAATTACTAAACGACCTAACATGTTGTCCGATAGTTAGATAAGCAACAGATACATAATATTCGCTATAGATTGTTAATTATTTATATTCCGCTTATAGCAATAGAAAGTATGCGAATATTTTAACTCACGCACTGTTATTATGTTCTTGAATTATCTTAAAAATTGCTTCAGATCACCACAAATACAGATGACTAAAATTACTATTGAAGAACTAGCAGTGATTAATTTGAATTTCAGTAGAATTCTCAGAGAAGAATTTACTCACATGGCTAACTAACCAAGAGTTGAAAAGCTACGAAACTTACACCATAATGTGCGCTCAACCAGTAACTTAAGTGATGTCAGTCTGGTCACGAATTAGAAGCATTTTCCGATGTTCTCTGTTGAAGTCAACATTGTACAAATGCTTCAACCAGTGCTTTCAATGCGAAAACCACCATTCTACTGTGCTACTGTTGTCCTCAGTTGAATGCATATTTTAAGGTACAAAGTGTCCAAAATATCTACATAATCAGTTCACTGTTACTTTGATTTCTCATCGCATTCATTAGTGAATATATCTTAAATCCTGCAGTGTCGACGACTTATTTCAATTTTACTACCGAAATGAGGAAATCTTAAACATGTGGACTGATAGAAAACTTCCCTTCTCATTGTCTCGATAATTAGATATTTGACTTTCCTTAGATCTCATTGGAAATAAACTGATGAATATACACGTTATCATGCAGAAGATGGCGCATGTTTGTCCAGATTTGACTACAAATGCATTAGTTGGAAACATTAAATTCCGCAAGAAGAGTCATTCATTCTTCACAGGATAATTCATTTTCTATCTATCCGAATAAAAGTCTGATTCGACAAAGTCACAAGTCATTCTGATCACAGAATGTGAAGCTTTTCAATCGCTTACACTGAAACATTATACCAGCAGAGACAACTAACGCATCCTAATGAACTCTCTCAATGTTTATAATTGTGTAACGTCACACGTTTGATTTGCCTATCATCTGTTAGGATGAATGTTTCATCAACTAGGCTTGACAGTTGCTGACACATTCGATAGCAAGTGATATGTTTCAAGGCCTGAATAATTTTGGTTTATCTACACCACCTTCACATGTTGCGACTCTTCAAAATGTCTTACATGATGCATCTTTATTAATTCAGTAGATGGTTACTAAGACATAAGTGATACCATGGTTTGTTCAAGTAAAAAAGGAAAATGTATTATAATACCAAGGTTTATTATGTTTTTATATTATTGCTTTATACTTGACAAATTATTACCACACATCGACAAATTGATACATGAATCCTGCATAACACAAGGTGATTAGTATCCAGTGAAATATTGAAGCTAGAATATAGTCATTCATAGAGTAAGAAATATATTTCTCTCCTAAGAGCATCTGGTATTCAATCACACTCAACTACAAAATAAGGAAAAATATCAATAAGAAGAACTCTGTGACGAATAAATTTGCACATAAATTATAATAAAACTTTAATTTCTACTGTCTAATTCAGTACTCTCTTCGAAGCACATACCAGAAAGAATATCAACGAGTTTTGAAAAGACACATTAAACGTCTGACGCATTTCCAGACATTTTCAAACTGTAATTTATATATCGTCATCGTGATGGTATTATTAGTTTTGAAGTATGAAGTGTAGCTTTTTATGTAAACCCTTTTTAACAATATTTCCTGGTTAATGATCAAGCTGTTTTCGTTGAAATAACTCAGGAATTCCATTCATAATTCGACACGGTTTGAAAGAATCCAATAAACGAATCTTACAATGGTTAACATCTGAGAACGTGTTCTCTTCACGGGTAAAACTGTTATTCTTTCTAAATTGTAAATAATGATGAATCCTATGTATACTGTGTGGTCCGGTACAAAAGAATGCTTTCCATTTACTTTGTCTGTCAGTACAAGCTAACTGAACTAGGTATATGAGCTGCACTGGACGTTTCCGAACAAATTAGAATTCAGTAATTTATGAAACAAGCGTATAAAGTTCTTTCTTATCATTTTTTTCTAATTTCTTGAAGTGCTTCTTCGATTTACATACTATAGGATGAATAAACAAAGGAGAACATACACGAATATTGATTAGACTTACAGGAACAATAATAGCTTGAACGAAAAGTGTGATGAGGTGTTGCACAACCTGAAATAAACGAGAATATGCATTCTGAAATGATGAATGCTAAATCACTCTATACTTAGTTTGTACATCAAGATTATTTATTACCTTGTCTATTACTAGAAGTCCACATCTTGATTTACTTTAGAAATACCTGTGGTATGAAGATAAGTATCGGAAGAAACAGACGTTAAGCGTTCAGTCTTTCTCATGAGGAAATTCAACTTAACATTATCTAATCATCTTAGTATAGACGTCGTCACGAATAAGCATCATTTGAGGATGGTTGAAAACTATGGAGCGTTGTACAGCCATTTTGATCCAGTTTGGAACTTCTCAGCAGCACCTATCTACAATCCCAACAGGGATTTAAGGTGGGACCTTCACGCTAAGAGACCAAGCCAGTCGGCACTCAGCTATTTGGACCGAGAGTCATTGGTCCCTGAGTTCTACCATCATTTGTGATTTCCGCTTGATTTGTATGATAGCACTGATCATATTCACCTTAGTATATGGACGTCTTCATTATTTGCCGTTATATTACCAGGAGAAATAACTGCCAGTTAGTTTTTTCGTAAAGGCTAGAGATATAATCTAAGGAAATAGTTTCATCTTAACTGGGAGTCGTTGTCAAGATGATGGTATCCACATCAACACTCCAAACCAGCTCTCATCAATTCAAATGCCGAATTATTATCTACTAGACTTCTGACAATCGTAAACAGAACGACACCCGCACCCTGGATTCTACTGCTATTAACATAGAAATGAGTGACATTGAAATTTAACTTCATTACACCTTTTAAAGATGTCATCCATGGACCCTTCTACTGCTGAAATACATTCAGAGGAAGGAAAATTAATCTACACGACAGATTGTTGAACATTTTATCCTAGTTTATTGATTATACATCAATCAATACTTACCCAATCAAGGTGCAGACCATACAGAATGCCACAAACAATAAATCCAACAATGATAACGCATCCACAATAAATGGCGAATAAATTAAATCTCTTCGTCAAGTCAAATTCAATTTGTATGCCGAATAAATACGACACAAATGATAAACTGATAGCAATTATCCAACTTATGAATATGAACATTCCATGCGTAAAAACTGAAAGAGAGGTTATCACTCCATCGAAGCTGATTGTCTTCAAAACAGAATTTATAGAAAATGTTATTGAAAAGATGATTTCTTTGGATGGTAAGTAGTTAATTTTATGAATTTGGTAAATTTTAAACGTGTACTTTAAAGTATTCTCCCATTAAAACTTTCTCAAATGTTTGAATCTTACTCGATTAAGCTCATTGATCATGGTTAAAACATATTCCATATTGAGGTAAAACACCAGGATGTTCTTACCGCGACGTTTTCTAACAACAAGGTGCCAGAAATCCTTTTAGTGTGTCAGAAACTTGAAAGTTTCTTATTTCAAAACATGTTTCATTATAACGGTGGTTTTATATAGTGTTCACACATACTTAAGAATACCTGTAGCTCATGTGGACGGTTATAATGCTGTTGGACTCTATAGGATCGATGGTTTGGTTGCAAAGCTTCTGGAAAATATCCTAAACGAATTTACAGAATTCAGTATTCACCTGTAATTTCGTTATGTTTAATTTATTGAATGGTAACGTGTTAGTTTAGTGACCTGAAAGTTTTAGTCTTGGTCACTAGTATTGTCATGGGTGTGAAATGCTGAGTAGTTTTGAAGAAGAATGAAACATTTATCCAGTACTCCGTTGCTTTATAGCGGTTGTCCAATGGAAGTTGGTTTCATGACAAAACCTAACTTGAGGTCAATGCCATATTCAAAAGAATATGACCAGAATACAAATCAAAGCTTTGACAAAATAAAGAGAAATAACCTGTCAACTAAAATTTCATTGAAACAGTTGCATGGTGTGTGTTGTCATCTTCCACACATCTACATCCGTTTTTGCATTTGAAATCTACAATTTACTTTAAATTATGCATTTAAACTCAACCAATAATTTTTAGTCCCTAGTATCAAGATCCAGACCCTTGTAAATGTTTTAGCAGACGCTGAGTAGAAGAATATTTATTATTAAATTTGAATTTACTTCCTTAATTTATTCATTTTTGCTGAAAGGTGTATGTGCCAGAAACCAAAGATTAGAAAATTTCAGCATCCACAAATATCATATAGTAATTTTATAGCTAGGAACTAGCCTGTTGGTCATGTATAAATGCCACTTATATGGAGACATTGCATACATAAAAACTGTCAATAAACCTTAAAACACATAGACATATTA